AAACTACAACTAGAACTACAATTTTTTCGAATTTTGCAATTTTCGCCGATTAAGTTTTAAAAATTCGTATAAAATCCAGTTCTTGGAATATGAGTATGAAAATTTCCCAAAGTGTTAACAAGAGTGTCTTCTTTCCAATGAACCAACCCATTTTGAAAAATAGCTTTTAGTTTTTGAGAAAACAATATTTGAAGTTTTCAAAAAATTTTCGATGTTGCAATTTTCATCGACAATTATCAAAATTCGCTATAAAATTAAGTTCTTGTAAAATCCTTGTGGAAATATCGCCAATTATTAATTAAAGTATCCTCTTTTTAGAGTTGCTTCGTGAGTTAAATCAGCATCAAAAAAGTTCATTTTGTATCTTGGATCCAAATAAGTTGACATATCTTATCAGCTTTCATATTAATTTCATTTTTATTCAAATATCGCAATACTGTGGCAATACAGGGTATCACTTCAGAAATGCACCAAAAATTATAACCGTAATGGCCGGAATAATTCGGATAACCGAATATCCGGCCGAAGGAGATGTCGAATATCCGGTGTCCGGATTTTCGCAAAATCACTATCCATATGGCATCCATATGGCAACAAACCTCCCAGCAACAAACTTTTACCCGTAATTTCTTATCTATTTTCTTAGCTGATATCCTTAATATTAGAGATAGCGAAAAACTAAATGCATCACTTAAAAGCTTGATTCTTTCTGTAACAGGGTTTTCATCTGCCGATAAGTTGATACTAAGATCAATAAAAAATTAAGAACACCGCTCTGTACTTAAAATAGCTCAAAATTAGCAAACTTCAAGACCTTGTGCAATTGTGATCAAACCGAATTTTAAAAACTGTTATCACAGTCAGAAAGAGCGCTCCTTCAGGTATCTTAATCCGGGTTTTCGTCGATCAATATCTATCGGCATCATGCTGAAATCACTCTTAATATACATCCCTACACGCAGAAATGCTTAATTGCTCTTTCTCTAAACAACTTTCTTATATGATAGGGGAAAAACTATAGACGTATATCTATCTTATCGAAAATTTTCTGCTCTTTCTAATGGTGTATAACACGCGGCGATCACGAGGTTGCACAAGTACCTTTTTGGCCAAAAACTACAAAATTCACACGTTTTAGCCACTTTTAAACCTTGTTCGGGTCGATAACTTTCTTATATGACCAGGAGAAAACTCTAGAACCATATCTATCTTATGGAAATTAATAATAACCCCTGTAGACCTCTAGTGTCCACAAGGGGGCGTTATCTCCCACTTTGACAAAGACTGTTTTAAAATAACCGTTGGCTATTGTGAAGCTTTGTTCTTATTGGATAATTTACCACCTAGCAGCAATACCTTGGTGATCATGATAATACGGCGTCAGTTTTAGCCCCAGTGTCCCTTCTGGTTATTCTTATTCTGTGGCGTTACCGGTAGTTTTATTATTTCTAAAAGTGTGTTTTGAACTTTATTTTCCGTTCTTACATTTTTGAGTTTATAGTTTACTGTTTAAAGTTTATTGTTTACTTTGGTGTTAGTTTAGTTTAGTGTAGGTAAAGTTTTTATAAACAATGGGTAATTAAATAATTATAGTTAAAATCCATTATACCAGTTGTTTGATACGTGAGAAGGTAATTAAATTTAATATTCTTAGTATTGTACTTTTGAAACTGGTTTTATTATTTATTTAATTAAGTCTTACTAGTTTCGGCCCATGGCTATCTTCAGAGACTAATGTCATACGAGTTAACTAAGATGTCATATTGCACACGTTAAAAAGAAGTTCTTTTTAATGTGTCGATCTGTTGTTTGTCGTAATCTCAAAGTAATTTTATTTAAAATATTTGCAATTACGTATAATACTTTATACACACTATTTATATCTAGAAGACTATTAAAAATAAATTGTTTGCATGAATGAATTTATTCGAATAAACCATTCGATAGTGGAAATCATTCATTTACTAATTTAAAAAAACAGCGTCCATCACTGCGAAGAGTTAAGTAACAAGAATTAGATGCAACATAGAAAGGAAGTTAATTAAAAAGNAAATTTTAAATTTTTGGTTTTTAAGAAAAACATTTTAAGGCTTCCGAATTTCAATTTGAATTTTTTGTGATGGTTTTGTAATATTTGTTAATTCTCCAGTTTTCAATCCGATTGCGTATGTGGTTTTACAAATTCCAACTCTTTTTAATTTGACGGTAACTTAATTGTATATTTTCCCTTTAATTAATTAATTAAATTACACAATGTACTTTCAGTCTTCAGTAAATTTTAATAAAATATAGCTTCATCGTTAACCTAGAGTTTTAATAGTGCTATAAATATTAAACGATGAATATTGAATCTACAATTGCTAAAAATAATCGTTAAAGTAGGCCTGTGTCTAATGTTTAGGTTGTGGACATCAGTTCTAAACGTAATTTTATTATAAAGATAAGGAGGAGATTTATGCATAATAATTTTATAAAATAAACATGCAGAATGTAACTCTCTACAACGCGACATACTCAACCAACCAATCCACCCCAAAGTATGCGATATTTTCTCGTACCTTCTTCTCTCCAGTACACAATTATAACATTTATGTGGAAACAACTTCTGGCGCCAGCTAATTGGCGCCACTAAACTGGCTTCGTACTGGCACCAGTAATCCGTGCATGTGGAAGCTTAGCTTTAAGGTCATTTAATGGCCCGTAAATTCAAAGATAAATAGTAGACGCGCGCCCTTCAACCGCAGTGGTCCTATTTCACAGCTCTGAATTCAGTTCAGATCGCAGATTTTCTACTCGTAACGCTGTTTCTACTAATTCAAAGTTAAATTCTAAGTCCGCACCGAGATTAATACTAAATCTTTTCTTCGAGTACAAATAATTAAGTGCAACGAGTTTAAGTTTTGAATTTTAATAAATAATCTGCTTAAAAAAAATGGTGAGTGTTTTTATAACAAATTTGTGATAATTCTAAGAATTTTTTTTTCCTTCTCATTTTATTTTAAATAACATGTAAAGGGGTATATTCAAACAACTTTTTATCAACCGTAGAATGAGAAATATTAATGTAACAAGTAAAAATAAGAACAAAATAATTATCAGAATCTTTTTTTAAAACGAATATGTATTGAACTGACGAAAGAAATTCACGTCTTGATAATTTGCTTATTGTTAGAACAATTTATATCGATTATATTTTAATACCCCTCTTTTTTTTAATATTTTATAGGGGCAGGTGGTCAAACGATGATATGGACGTATTTAGACCAAACGACGAAAATTACGCCGTATCATCGACGACGCACCATCACGAAAGGACACGAAACCACGGGGCCTTGAAAATGAAACGACATATGTAAGTAATTTCATTAATGTTTAATCGGCACGAATGAATTTAAAACGATAAAAGTTGTTTATTTCTTTTTATATGCAACTTATGAGTCAGGTGCGCAGATATTTAGCAAATATACAGGGTGATTCACATAAGAACCGACACAGAGCAGGGACATGTAGAGGACAATAAATTAAGATGATTTAAAGTAACTTACCTCTATACTAAGTTGTACACCTGAGAAGTTATGGCCTTCAAGGTTGGCTCTTAAATTTTTAAAAAGTTTAATATCTTCGTAATAAATTAAGCTAGAACAACCAAATTTGGTATACGTTATGAGTGTACCAAGGATATTAATTGGTAGCAAATTGAACTCAATTAAGGTATTTCAAAGGGTTGATTAAGGGTGATGGTACCATAAATTTTGACAGATTTTTTTAACCTTTTGGCGGATTTAATAAATGACTACTTCATTTCATGTGGAATTTAATTCTAAAACTTTTCTTACCCTTATTATTTTTTAAAAAACTTTGTCGTTTTCATAAAAAACTTAAATAACTAAAGACACTTATTTCGTAATTTTACTTAAAAGAAGCGAAAATNTTAAAAACAAATTGTTTGCATGAATGAATTTATTCGAATAAACTACTCGATAATGGAAATCATTCATTTACTAATTTAAAAAAACAGCGTCCATCACTGCGAAGAGTTAAGTAACAAGAATTAGATGCAACATAGAAAGGAAGTTAATTAAAAAGAATTGACGGTTTTGGAAAATAACTTTTATTAGGTTTTCAGGTTTTCGTATTTATATCTTGTTCAGATAAATTTATTTCTTGATCAATTATCTTTCCTTTATAAGCGGTATACGGGGTGTATATTATTTAACCGTTATTTAGAGTTTTTTTTATCGAAAGAACGTTTTAATTATTTAACTTTTATGTAAAATTACAATTTATATCATAAGACTTTATGAATACGGAAGCGTAACTCGAACACCGCGTCGGCGATTGGAGTACTTCGTGGAGTCGGAATTACAATTCTCCAGTATCGAAGTATTCGCAGTTATTTATAACAAATATTTGCTAACGCATCACATTCGGTGATTACAGTTGAAGGGTCCAGGGAAAAAACGTGATAAGTCACAAATGCGTAATTTCATAAGAGAACTATTTTAAAGTTACCAGACTTTTTCTAGGCCGATGGGAAGTAATTCTTCGATTTTGCTATGGTAATTAATATTCGAATTTATTTTTTATTGATTCTGTGAACACGATAATTCTTAAATGTTTGCGTTCTACGCGTAAATAAAGTCAGACTAAGGTAACAAATAGAATTGCAATGCAAGAAAACGGTAAGTCCCATACTTATCATCTTTTTGCTCTTTACCAAAGAAGAGTTAATGGAAAAAAATTTAATATTTGAGGAGAGATCAATGCAATAATAAACACAGGTGCTTATAAAACAAAAAAAAATATAACTACATTATTTAAAGTATCAAAATCAATTTTATTAACGAAATCTGTAACAGTGTAATGTTTCAGTGATTCACTGAACCAAGGACCATTATAGGCAGCTTTGTACCGTATAACATCAGAATCTTCCTGGTTAATATCTATAATTCTGACGGGTCTTGATTTAAACGGTAATTTTTTTTTATAAAGAGTGTCCAAGTAAACGGTCCAGCTTCGAAAGAAANATGTATACAGGGTGTCTCAGCGAGACCGGTCATTAGACGTTTCTGGAGTTCTGGCCAAAATAAAAATTTTAGAATTCAGATTTAAATATCATCAATTGCGTTCTCTTCGACTAAAATATTTTCAGGTTTCTAACACTTCCGGTTATACCGGAAGTCGCCACCTAATTTATTTTTTTAAATGGAACACCTGTATATGTTTACAAGTTTGGATTTGTTTGTTTTCAAGACTTATGAATAACTTTACTTTATGCAATTTGATTCAGCCGTTCTCGAGTTATTCGAATTTTTCTAAAAAAAATCTGCCCCAACAGACATTTGTTCAAAAGATCAGAGAACACGCGATTTTTGAGATATCAATTTAGGATTCAGAACATGTTTAAGCAACATGATGGAGTATGTTTTGGTGCCGAGAACGGCTGTCTAAATCATTTGATCACTTTACTATGGCACGTTAACTATTCGAAATTTCGATGTACCATAACTTCATTTTTTTAAATGGCACCCCCCATATTTTATTGCTTTGTCGTCTTCCGCGTCTCATTTTACATCTTTCATACTCCATATGTCCTATACCTAACATTAATAGTTTGGGAAATAATTAGGGTTTTTTGAAAAATGCTCACATATCCACATTTACCTCCGATGACAAAAGGTAAATATAAAAAAATAGAAGCAAATTTTTTGCATTTCGGACAAATTAACCACGTGTTAAACTGACCAAAAAATGTAGTACATAATGCAGCGGAAGAGGTGAATACCTTGGCTTATTTCGAGCTCAGTCCCAACGCCTCAATTCGAGCTGACAAAGAAAATCTGGGAATCTTACTACGAACTTTGTTGCGCTTTTCATGTATAAAAATTATGTTATTGTTATCAATTTTAACTCTTTTTAGTACTAATATTAAGATACCTAACAGATAATTATTAGCTCACATGCATCAAGTGACGTAAACAAGTGAGTCTTTGACAAGAACTCATTGAGAAGGCTTGTTTTCCATGGCACACTAGGCTAAATATCCATATGATATGTGTGCATTTTTCAAAAAACCCTAATTATCTCCTAAACTATAAATGTTAGGTATAAGACATATCGAATATAAAACATGTAGAATGAGACACCGATGACGACTACGTAATAAAATATGGGGGGTGCCATTTAAAAAAATGAAGTTATAGTACGTCCAAATTTCGAAAAGTTAACGTGCCATAATAAATCGACCAAACGTTCTAGACAGCCGTTCGCGGCACCAAAACATACTCCATCATTAAACTAAAACTAGAACTAACACTAGCACTATCACTAGAACTAACACTAGCACTATCACTAGAACTAACACTAGACATATTCTATTTTTTGTTCATATTTTGTATTGTTTCGTTTTAAGAATGCTATTATTTCAAATACGGCTGGACGGATTTCAGCGCGTTTTCCACTGTTTTGTGTGCAATAACTCTGTATGTCGAATTCCGGTAATAGTTTTTCAAAATTAAAATTTTCTGATTTTTTAGAGCGAGTAAAGTATTTGAAAGAAATCGGAGTTAGACAGACCCGTGTGACGATAGCAACTAGTATTGGCAAGGATATCTGGCAACTATCCGGTATCCGGCCGATCCGGTCATTTTTTTANGTCGTTTATAATAAACATCATTGGTCGGTATATTGAGGACTGGCAAATTTTTACCAAAATCTAAGCAGATTGCTTCTCTAGTTTCAGATTTCTTACACGACTTCCTAGAATTTCGCTTTTTTCTATAAAAGGTATCTGCGTTTAAAAGATGAAGTTTATTTTCTATTGCTATGCGATCGACTTCAGTTTTAAGTGTTAAATGTTTTTCCCTATCCGTTTCATTGCTTATTTGTGATAGTAAACTCTTCTTTCTTGCTGCAAACTCATCACAGTTGCTACACGTATCGGTACGTGGGTAACCAAACGCTATGTTGAAGTCATTATTGAAGATTGTTCTATATGTTTCATAAGAAATCTTCAGTTCGCCATGAATTTCTTTAAACATCAAAAACAACTTTTTGATGTTTAATTCTTCAGGCAGATATGTCTTAGTGGAATCGTGCAAACTGTAGTGACTAGATCTTCGTTTCAGAGATTTAATATGAGCATGAACAGCACTCTTCACCTCTTCAGAAATTTTGTTGGGGCGATTTTTGTGTTTGCCTCTCTTATACTTTGGTGCTGTTCCGTAATTTTTTAACGATGCTAGTATATAATCGACTTTTGATCACCCTATACCATGCAGAGCCATAAATGCTACCTTACACACAACTTTTTCTTCCACATTTTCATCCATGACTACGCGGACTTTATAACAGTAACTAGCTTCCCGAAATAACACTTCTGCTTCCGGTTTTCTGTTCCTTCTTCGCCGAATTGGCAATATAGATATTAATCCTGCCAAATGCAAATTTTGTTCGTCCTTTGACTTTAATTTATTGAAATGATTAATAATTTTTTCTTTACTTTTTTTAGATAATAGTTGTTCAAAACATTTTTTCTTGAATGTGCAGGCTCTTCCTGTTTCATGGGTTTGTAACAGCAATTTCTTACCGACCTCAGTAATTCTTCCAAATATTTTTCTTTTCTTTACCTTCAACTCTTTACATCCACCGCTATCATCTTCACTTAAACCAACAGATGGACTTTCAGACATTTTGAGATATTATACAACACAAAAACCACAGAACTACTATATTGTTACTAACAATGTGTTGATTACGTCGTCAAGGCGAAAAAGAACACGTTTTGTTGCAACAATAATAGTTATTTAGGGCTTAATGTCGCGATACACATTATATTTTTTCTGCATTTGTTACAATTTTATTAAAGTATTTAAACCGTTTTGAATTACGTTTACCGGCTGTCACTGTCAACTAAAAATTTAATAAATGACAAGTAATACCAACCTAAATATTGTTGTCATTGTATATTTTTTATTCGTTTAAATGGACTAAAAAAAGTCTGCTAACATATCTTGGGATACTATTAACCACAAAGAATTATATTTTTTTTGGACTTAACGGTTTTTTAGACTTACCATGTTTTTCCCCTGTACATCTAAACTTATTTTGTGAATATCTCAAGACTAAACATGTTTTCATCTAAAACTCATGGATCATCTAGTAGGTCGTAATTTTTACTACAAGATTCAATCATTTAGATCAATTAATGAAATATTGGACTTATCACGTTTTTCCCCTCAACCCTTCAGTTGTTAAGGGGCGGCTACATTTGGTAACTCTATATCTACGTAGAATTTTCCCTTAAATTTCAATCTCACAATGTTGTGTACCATTTCTACCCTGGTTCTGAAG